GTTGGCAAGGAAACCCACTGCATCTACTTCGCGGGCAGCGTCCAGGCTGGTGAGGACGTGGTTAAGAGATCTGGAGGATGGAACTTATTTGGTCCAGTGAAGGGGGCAGCAGGCTGGGGGGAGAGGGGAACTCCTGGATCATTAGGGAAGGTACTCACCACCATGCTCCCTTCCCCTCCACAGGCATCATCAATGCCAGATTTGCCACCCGAGGCTGTGCCACACAGAGCGCCTGCCACACCAAGGTGGGGGCGGAAGTGCCCTCTCCTTCCTACCTCTACTTCCTCCGCCGGGCGGACTGCCTGCCAGCCTCCCATCCTCCCGGCAGGGCCAAGTGAGAGTGTGGCCTTAGGTCCTCATGTGTCCCCAGCACCCCCCCCCCCATGCCTATAAATTAAAACAGACCCACAGAACAAGTCCTATCTGTAATGCATCTCTAAGAGGTGGGTGGGAGAGGGTGTGGGTCTCCACCCCCCCCCCATCAATCCCCTCTTCAGATAAGGGGAGACCCTGCCTTTTATTTAAGGGGTACTGTTTTGCCATGCCCCTGGGCTAGTTCCCACATTCTGTCTCAGTTTACCATCACAACTCTGAACTTTTTTTGGGGGGGGGGGAGGTTGGTTCAGATAAGGTCTCACCATGGAGCTTAAACTAGCCTTAAACTTGCAATACTCTGGCTTCTGCCTCCCAGGGGCTGGAATTACAGGCATGCAATGCCATACTCAGCTTGTGTTAGGAAGGGTCAGAACCTCATTTGATTCCAAGACTGTTATGCTTCAGAGTCCTGGCTCACCTCTCACTTTTTTGCCTCAGTTTCCACTGAGGGCATTTTAAAGCCTTTATGAGTGATGATCCTGCAGACCATTTGCGTAAACAGTAATCACCCTGACAGCTGCCACTTACCAATGGCCATTAGTTGGCAGATGCCAAACCCTGGCACCAGCTGGGAGAGTCCAGATCACGCTCCAATAACAAGCCCCTAATCTCAGTTGCTGAAAACAACGAAGCTGTGTGAGTCAGCTAATGCCACAATAATGCTGTGTAACAACCATTTCCGGCCCAGATATTCTTGTTTCTAGGGGTTTGTGGGTTGGCCTAGGTGGCTCTACTTCTAGTTGCAGGTTGACTGGTTTGGATTTAGTTCAGGGGCAGGGCACGAAGTGTCTGTTCTTTCTAGTTGCAGGTTGACTGGTTTGGATTTAGTTCAGGGGCACGAAGTGTCTGTTCTGTGAACTTCTATAATGTTCTGGATCAGGGATTCTTGTTAGAGACTCTCATGTCTGATCACAGGATCACAAAAATTCAGTGCATGTAAATCTCACCATTGCTCCCAGCTATTTCCTGGAAGTACTGGGGACTGGACTCAGGCCTTAAGCTTGCTAGTCAGGCCTTCTGTTACTTGAGCCATAGCTCCACTTCTGATTTTTTTCCTGGCTCACTGCTGAGACTCTTACCACCAATAACCAGCAAAAAGCCGGAAGTAGAGCTATGGATTAAGTGGTAGAACCTAAGTCTTGAGCACAAAAGCTCTGGAACAGCACCCAGCACCTGAGTCAAGCCTCAGGACTGGCACACACACAGATCCCCTGCATGGAATCCCCCTTTCAAGACCCAAACATCACACAAGATTTTGCTCACTTTTTATTTATTCCTCCAAAACACACCATAGGCAGACCGTACCCACACTTTGTCCTACAGAGTTCCCCACTGCAAGGGACATGGTGTGGAATCCCACTGTGGGAAGGAATGAGGACCTCTGATCCACAACCCCATGCGCTTGGGGGCTCGTGAAGTGCTGGCAATGGCTGTACCAAGATTGTTGGTACATTTCCTAAAACGTGTGCTTGCCAAGTGGCCTGAGATGTCACAGACACACCGATGGCAGCCAGCAACCTATCTTGGAGTTTATTCTTTTCTTCTTGGTTGCTCCCAGAGACAGAAGCCTCACTCATAGCCTAAAATTCACCTAGTCAAAGGAAGCCCAGTGGGGTAGTGCCTGCCTGTAATCCCAGCATTTGGGAGGCAGAGATAGGAGGATCACTTGAATTCAGACCAGCTTAGGCAACATAGCAAGACTCCATTTTAAAAGAGAAAAAAAGGCAACTACCTGCCCCCCCAAACACCACCTACCCTCCCCCCGAAAACATCATGAACCCCATGGTGTCAGACACTGCAAACCCAGTGTCAGAATCAGATGCAGCACTGCATTCTTATAATCCCAGTGGCTCAGGAGGTGAAAGAAGTCAGGACCGTGAGTTCCAGGCCAGCCTGGGCAACAGAGTCCCTGTCTCAAAAACAAAGGCAGTAAATGGCGGGAAAACAGAAAGACACCCCGTGACCACTGTATGAGCTGGGCATAGTGATGCATGTTTGTAATCCCAGCATTTGGGAGGCTAAGGCAGGAAAACTGTGAGCTCCAGGCTGGTCTAGGCTACATAAAGAAAAATACGGCATATTGAAATATTTTGGGGGAGGATGTGGCATTAAACAAAACATACTGAGTTTCACTCCTTTCCTTTTCCCCTGGTCCTGGGGTTTAGAACTCAGGGCTTTGCACCTGCTAGGCAAGCCTTCTACCACTTGAGCCACCCACCTCCAGCCCTCCCCCCACCCCCCGCTTTGTTTGCTAGTTATTTTTCCAATAAGCTTTTGTATTTTTGCCTGGGCCTCACCTCTGACCAAAATCCTCCCGACATGTTCCCCGTAGCTGGGATTACAGTCATGTGCCACTGTGCTCCCAGCCATCGTGCTGGGTTGAGGGCTCTCAGACCAGTTGAGACAGAGGACAGTGGCGTGCCAGAATGTCACATAGACACACGAATCTCTCCTGGCTAAGGCTGAGCGGCTTTGCCCCCCATGCTCTCCCTGTCATGGCCCCTAGGTGCACAGTGGTGGGGATGAGTGTGCTGTGGCTGGGGTGCCACCTCCTTCCTACCTGAGCCTCGATCACTGGCCTTCATCATGCCAGCTTATGGTTCTGGCCCAGCTCTTCCATTTCTCAGATGGGAAGGTGAGGGCTGGCTCGGGGGACAGGGCCAGGGGCCAGCCTGTGCTGTGGCTTCCCACTCCCCTGACTTGGCACAGGGTGTGCTCATCCATTAACCTGGCCCCCGGGCTGCCCTGTGGCAAGAGGCAAAAATGGTGGTTCTCACTAGGCGCCAGCCCTCACACTTGCCATCCTTGCTGCTCAGGAGGCTGAGATCTGAGGCTGATGGTTCAAAGCCAGCCTGGGCAGTTAAGTCCGTGAGACTGTTATCTCCAATGAACCACTAGAAAACTGGAAGTGGAGCTGTGGCTCAAAGTGGTAGAAGGCTAGCCTTGAGGGGGGGAAAAAACTATTAAAAAAAAAGGCAGTCATCATCCTGCCACTATTCAATGAATCAGCACCCATATGTACCCTGCAATATCCAAGGTGCTGGGGAACACTGGAGGATAAGACAGGCAAGGGATCAAAGGCCATAAACAGGCAACGAAACAAGTAAATCAAGGTTAGTTTTGCTACGGGGAAGACCAGCTTGGGCAACATGGGTATGTGGTCCCCCTGGGGGTGGTCAGGGAGGGGCCTCCCAGAAGGGGCAATAACGTGAAGACTTGATGGACAAGAAGCCAGTGGTGGAAGAAGCCACGGAGAGGTGAACAGCAAGTGCCAGAGCCCTGAGATCTGCAGCTCCCTGGGGAGGGGCCAGGGCAGCGGACCGCAGTCTGGCAGCGCGCTGTTGAGCCTTCAGCCTGGGATCTCCCCCCGCTCCCCATCTACCATGGGTGATGAAGCATCTGGTAACACGTGACTTCCTTGCACATAGCTGGCCACCCAGCTCATTGCTGGTACAGTGGCCTCTGCCTTGCTCCTGGCCCCTCGCCGCACTCTCTGCCTGTGGGGGACACTGGTGCTCACACAGCACCTTGTGTGCACAGGCAAGCAGAGGCCTCTTGGGGCACCTGAGGAAGCCGGCCATGTCCCAGATGTCTGAACTGGGGCCTGAGGGTGTGGCTCAGCCGGAGCCAATTTGCCCAGAGTGCACAAGGCCTTGGGTTACATTCTCAGCATGCATGTGCACCCATATACACGCACCTGAAGTAGTGCAACGGTTCACTCACTTCTTTGAAAAGGCAGGTGCAGAAAACACCAGGCCAGAAAGGGCTACAGTTACAAAAATGACAACCACAAAAAAGACCTTTAGATAGGAAAGACAGGAGCACACACCTCTGAGACACCCAGATCACCTAGCACCTGTAAAATGGGTGTAGTCAGTCACACACCTGTCAGTCAGAGAGAAGGCAGCTGCTGGGATCCAAGTCCACCAGGAACCCATGGGAGGCATCTGAAGTGTGGGCTCCTGTCCCCCCCCCCCCCAAAACTCAGGACTTCCTGGCCTCTGGCCACCCTCACCATGCCCAGATCTGCCCCCTCCCTGCTTGTTTTGTGGGAGCATTCTCCCTGCATCAGGCCCTGGAGTCTCCCCAGATGGACAAGGTTGCAGCTCTCGTCTACCATGCACGAAACAGCAACCGAAGTTCACAGCCCTTCTGGGACACAGGAGTCTGAGAGCCCAGGGGCACCTCCCAAGTTAAGGTTCACTGCCTCTTGGGGTCCTCTGTGCAGGTCTGTTCCCCCCAGAAAACCTACTGAGATTGTTTGTCCTTGAGGCTCAGCAATCCAATCCAATACCGGAACCCCTCGCTCCAACAACGGAGTCGGGGGGGGGGGGGGGTCCAGTCGTGGCTCACCCTAATCAGGAATCGTCTGCCTCCCCTGGAAGGCCAGAAATTCCACCTGAAAACCAAGACGTAACCCTTTTTAGAAGTCGGAGGTGGGGAACCCCTAAAGCCTTCAGCCTGGAGGCCGCACTCCCTGGAAACGGGGAGTCCTGACCTGCACACTTTCTCCCCAGACCCCAGAAGCTAGGCAGCCAGAAATCACACACTACAGGTCGGCGCCGGCACCCCGCTCCCCGAGACCCCACCCCTCCCACCTCAGAGACCCCGATTTCCAAGCCCACCCCCCACAATTCTAAGGGAGAATCCGGATCCCTCACGGGGTGGGCTCGGGAGGCACCAGCACGGCCTCGGCGTCCGCCCGCATCTCCTCCAGGGCCTGCAGCAGGACCCCGTGCGCCGCGCGGTAGCCGAGGCCCCCGGTGGCGGCGGCGCCCCCCGCGGGCCACAGGAAGGAGAGGGCGCCGAGCGCCGCGCCCCCGGCCGTGCCCTCCCCGGCCCAGGCGCCCAGCCGGGCCTCCACCTCGGCGCGCGTCACCGGGCCCGGGAAGCGCGCGCGCGCCGCCAGCGCCCCGGGGGCCAGGCCCAGCGCCCGCTCGCGCCGCGCCAGCGCCGCGGGTTCCAGCCCCAGCGCCCGCCGCCACTCCGCCAGCTGACCCCGCAGCAGCGCCACGTCGCACGCCCAGCCCAGCCCCGGCACCGGGGCCGCCGCGGCCGCCAGGCTGGCCAGCAGTGCGGGTCTCCAGGCCCCGGCCCGCAGCGCCGCCGCCTTGCTCCGCGCCGCGCCCGGAGACGCCGGGGGCAGCGCCAGCAGCAGCGCCCCGGCCTGTGCCGCGGGCAGCGCGCGCCGCAGCCAGGCGCCCAGAGCCGGGAGCCCGGGCCGCAGCGGGAAGACGGGCGGCGGCGCGGCCTCCAGCACCTCCCACGTCTCGTCCTCGGGGCTGCAGGGCCCCCCGCGATCGGACTCGGCGCTGCCCGAGGTCCGGGCATCAGTGGCCCGCGCGCGATCGCCGCCACCCGCCTCCAAACCTGGCGATCCGGCGCCAGGCTTCTCCCCCACCTTCTCGCCCGGGCTGCTCAGGTGCCCGCCGCCGTCCCCGCCACTGCGCTTCTCCCACATGTCCTCGTCCACCCGTGCCTCGGGGGGATCCCCGCCCTGGCCATCGGTTCGCACACACACCAGCGGCGCATCGGGCGACACCAATCCACGGGCCTGGGCCCAGTCGTTGTCCGTGGGGACCCCCGGGGTGACGAGGATGAGGGCGTCGTAGTGGCTCGGGTGAGAGGTGGGGGCGGGGGTCGCCCCCATGGGGTCCAGAGGGATGGCCCACAGCACCACATTGGGGCGCTCCGGGGCCGGGAAGGCGGTGGGCACCGTGGGCATTGTAGCAGGCACAGCTCCTGGGTCCCCAGGATCCAACCCGAGTAGTTCGTTCAGCACAAGGCCTACGTTGGAGGTGCCGGCCACTGCCAGGTCCAGCCGGGCGCTGCCCAGGCGCTCCAGGCCTGCTCGCACCCATGACAATGCCGCCTCCAGGCCACCGGTCTCAAAGGCCTCACGCACCGCCTCCAGCTCTGCAGCACCCAGCACCTCGAAACCATCCTGGGCCGGTGGCAGGAACCTGCGGAGGGCGGCAAGGGATGGGGGGGTCAATGACAGAAAGGCGCCAAGTGTGGGAGAGGATCAAGGCTGTAGTAGATGGAGAGAAGCTAAGGAATCTAGAGGGAGGAGCGGGAAAGGCAGGGGCCAGGCTATGGGAGGAGCTTAAGGGAACGAGGGAGCCAGGATGCCCATGCCCGGGAGGGGTGGGCTGAAGTTCAGATATCCAGCAGAGCCAAAGATGGGAAGCCTGGTGAGACTGCTCTGAGTTACAGTCCTTGGGAGCAGGGTTGTTCCACGAGGCTGCTAGGCAGGATAGATGGAGGAGGGGTGGACCACACTGCAGTCTAAATGAATGCCAAGCACTATTTGACAAGAACCTTGTTGAGGTCCCCAGGGGCAATCTTTCCCAGGGCGTTAGAAGCCCTCTGTCGGCAGAAGTCTGTTTTTACCAAGGACGTGTGGCTAAAGAGAACAGGGAAAACAGAACATTAGACCTGTAACTCTCTCTTTGAGCCTCATTTGGAGGCCTATAAAATGGAACAGTCAGCAGGGTGCCGCCTGTAATCCTAGCTACTCTAGAGGAGGAGAGCTGAGGATTGTGGGTTGAAGCCAGCCCAGGTAGTAAAGTCTGTGAGATTTTTTTGGTCAGTTGTGGGGCTTTAACTCTGGGCCTGGGCGCTGTCACTCAGCTCTTCAGCTCAAGGCTAGCACTCTACCACTTGAGCCACAACGCCACTTCCGGCTTTTTCTGTGTATGTGGTGCTGAGGAATCGAACCCAGGGTCTCATGCATGCCAGGCAAGCACTCTACCACTGAGCCACCTTCCCAGCCCCTGTGAGATTTTTTTTTTTGGGGGGGGGGGGTCTGGTAGTGGGGCCTGAACTCTGGGCCTGGGCCCTGTCCCTCAGCTCTTCAGCTCAAGGCTAGCGCTCTACCACTTGAGCCACAACGCCACTTCCAGCTTTTTTCTTTTTGCTTATGTGGTGCTGAGGAATCGAACTCAGGGCCTCAGGCATGTAAGGCAAGCGCTCTACCACTGAGCCACCTTCCCAGCGCCCCCTGTGAGATTTTTATTTTCAATAAACTACCCCCAAAAAACTCAGGGACAGCACCCAGGTCCTGAATTCAAGCCCCATGACCAGCACAAAAAACAAGTGGCTCACACCTGGAATCCTAGCCAATCAGGAGGCTGCGATCTGAAGATCCGGGTTCAAAGCCAGCCCAAGGAGGAAAGTCCCTGTGTCTTTTATCTCTAATTAGTTATCAAAAAGCTAGAAGTGGGATCCCTCCTTATTCTTCTCTCTAGATAAGAGAATTTGTTCCTCCCCCCCAATGGCTTTTCTCTTTCAAATAAAAAAATGGGGAGCTGGGCTCTGGTGGCTCATACCTGTAATCCTAGCTACTCAGGAGGCTGAGATCTGAGGATCCCAATTCAAAGCCAGCCCAGGCAGAAAAGTCTGTGAGATTCTTATCTTCAATAAATCACTCAGAAAACTGGAAGTAGCCCAGTGGCTCAAGTGGTAGAGTGCTAGCCTTGAGCTGAAGAGCTGAGGAACAGTGTTCAGGCCCAAAGTTCAAGCCCCATGACTGACCAAAAAAAGTGGGGGGAGGTGCTGGGAATGTGGCTTTGTGGTAGAGTGTTTGCCTAGCATTCATGAAGCCCCTAGGTTTGATTCCTCAGTACCACATACACAGAAAAAGCTGGAAGTAGCACCATGGCTAATGTGGTAGTGACAGCCTTGAACAAAAGCAGTTCAGGGACAGTGCCTAGGCCCTGAGTTCAAGACTCTGGACTGGCAGGGGAAAAAAAATGAAGCCAGAAAGCAGTGGCTCCTGCCTGTAATCCTAGCTACTCAGAAGGCTGAGATCTGAGGATCTCAGTTCAAAGACAGCCTTAACAGCAAAGTTTCTGTGAGACTTTTTTTTTTTTTTTGCCGGTCATGGGGCCTGAACTCTGGGCCTGGGCGCTGTCCCTCAGCTCTTCAGCTCAAGGCTAGCGCTCTACCACTGGAGCCACAGCGCCACTTCCGGCTTTTTCTGTTTATGTGGTGCTGAGGAATCAAACCCAGGGCCTCATGCTTGTAAGGCATGCACTCTACCACTGAGCTACCTTCCTAGCCCCTCTGTGAGACTCTTATCTCCAATTAACCACTTAAAAATGGGAAGTGAGGAAATGGTGCGTGGCTCAAGTGGTAGAGTGCTAGCCTTGAGCTGAAGAGCTGAGGGACAGCGCCCAGGCCCAGAATTCAAGCCCCACGACCACAAAAAACAAACAAACAAACAAACTGGAAGTGGTGCTGTGGCTTAAGTGTTAGAATACTAGCCTTGAGTACAGAGGGACTCAAGGACAGTGCCCAGGCCCTGAGTTCAAGCCCCACAACTGAGAAAGAAAGAAAGAAAGAAAGAAAGAAAGAAAGAAAGAAAGAAAGAAAGAAAGAAAGAAAGAAAGGAAGGAAGGAAGGAAGGAAGGAAGGAAGGAAGGAAGGAAGAAAGGAAGGAAGAAAGAAAGAAAATAAAAGAAGTGGAGATGTGATTTAAGTGGGCTGGGTCCCAGACTTGAGCAGAAAAAGCTAAGGGATAGTGCCAACACCCTGAATTCAAGCCCCAGTACTGTCACTCACACACACACACAGCTGACAATTGGGATGGGGATAGGGGGCAATTTAAGAGGTAGCCAGCAAATGGGCAATGAAATATTAATGCTCATCAAGGTTTTGGTTTTAGGAAATGAGTATGGCTGGAGAACCAGGATGTTGGTGGAGAGATCATCTGGGAAAATCTTTGTGGGATCCTAACTTCTGTGGAGAGGTAAAATATGGAATTCTTCAACATTTTGCCTGCAGGCTGTATTTTAGTGGTAAGTCCAGGCTTATAGAATTCTTGCCAGGGGTGGGGGTGGGGAATAGGGGTTGTTTTCACCTCAGAAGGCTGGCAAGAACCCAGACATTCGAGACAAGTCCGGATCTCCAATTGATCTGTGGCTGGGGAGGGGCCTAAATGACAACAAAGGGTCAAACAGACACCGCTGACTTAGGGTGGAGCCTCTCGGATCTCAAAATCTGCAGAGCTGGGCGGGGTCTGGATGAAGAAGGAGAACCTCTGCAGGTAGCCAAGCCTAGCTCCAAACTCACTCTACTCGAGTGGGGTCTAGACTTAAGGGAACAGGCCTGTCTCTCCCACCCAAACCTGATCCCGCCTCTCACCTCTGCAGCGCCTCGGCCTGGCTCCGCAGCGCCGCCCGCAGGCGTTCTAGCTCCTCGCAGTGGTCGCCGCTGCCGTAGTCCACCGGCAACACGAAAAGGGAAGCCGCTCCTAGCCCGGCGCTGTCCAGCAAGGCCTCTGTCTGATCCCGGGCCTGGACCTCATTATGTGACTCGCTAGGACGCAGACTCCGCACAGCCAATAACGGGGTCCCTCGAGCCAGGGCAGCCCGCGCTGCCTCTCCCAGAGCTGGGGCTAAGGGCTCCCCATTCCCTTCAGGTCCGGGTAGTACCAATACCAACACGTTGGCCTCGGCAGCCCAGGGCCCTGGCGCCGCGGGTGGGCAGCTCAGCTCGCCTAGGAAGAGGCCGGGGCCCGCAGTTCTCAGGTTTGGGACCCCAGATTCCGGCCGTGCTTCGGGGATCTCTACAGTCTCCACGTTCTTGCCGCACAACGCGGAGATCAGTGCAGACTTTCCCGAGCCTGGAGGCCCCAGGAATAAAGCAGTCACGTCGCCCTGCGGAGGAGGCATTGCTGGAAAGCAAAGGGTGGGGGAAAGACACCGATCAAGGCGAACCTTTTTAAAAATGTTTTCTTCCCCACCTCCCTCCCGAGCCGCACCACTCTGAACCCCACACTTCAGTCCCCGACTTCCACTCTCGGGTGTCACCCTTTGGGACCTGGAAATCTAACGCCCAGGGCTGTATTCCCTAGACACCCAAGCACCTGTCAACACCTTTTTTTTTTTAATCTCCCCCTAAGGACGCAAACATTTCCCATTCTGCTTCCAATAGTTAGAAATCCGGCAAGTCAATCTCTTATCGCCACCCCCCCCACACACACACCCCACGCCATACCCGGGGGCGCCCTCCCCTCTCCCCCGTTCCAAATCACCGACCGATTAAAGATCAGACACCCCAGGAAGCGAAGCGCAGTCAGAAGCAAACCGGTCAGCCGCAGAGGAGCCCCCGCGCGCCCCGGGCACCCGGAGAACAGAGCCCAGAGAGAGGTTAGGGGGACGCCTTCTGGCGGCTCTAACCTGACGTCACTCCCTCCCTCCACCAGGGGGTGTGTCCGGGAGCGTGACCAAGAAGGTTCAGCGATGGCGACAGCGCCCCCCCCCCCCCCACTTCCCCCAAGAAAGGCCCGAGACGTCCCCCGGCTCCCCGCAGCGTCCGCGGCGCCCGCCGGGGACAATAAAGGGAGCCAAGGCGCCTGCGCAGTAAGCGCGGGTCTTCGCAGCACGCGCGGCCTGACGTCATCATCGCGCGCCCCGGCGCTGAGAGGGTTTCCCACGCACCTCCGTGGCTGGCGCGACCCCGCCATGGCCGGACGGCGACCGTCTGTGACTTGGGTTTCGGACAGACTTTTTAGGAGGAAAGGCTGACGACACCTTTTGGGGCCTCCGGACCATGTGATGGGACCCCCCACATCCCTACCTTCACCTCCTCGAACGCCTCCCACGGGCGCGGCGAAAGGCCGTCCTCGGCTGCACGGAGATATTCCCGGTGACCGGCCTTGGAATCGAGAGCCCGAGACGGTGTCCGGGAGCCGCAGGACCCCCGCGGGCTGGCAGTGGGCGTGGGCTCTGGGCGTCACAGCAAGGGTCACAGGATGTCACCCGGGAAGAGATGGGCTAAAGGGTGGGTACCACTACACTTCCAGTCTCTTGAGAGGCTGGACGGATGAGGCTGGTGCCAAAGATCAAGGGTCAAGGCTAGGGGAGGGGCGTGGCTCAGGCGCTGTAAAGCTCTGGTCTGGCACGTTCGAGACCCTAGGTTCGATTCCCTGTAGCAGCTCCACCTCCTCCACCTCCCCCCCCCCCCCAAAGGGGATCTACTCTCAACTAGTTTGGTGAAGGAGGACAACCTAATTGGAGAGGGATGAGATTCTTTTTAGTTAGAACGTCTTTAGGGTATGTATGGGATGGTGTGTCGTGAGGCTGTAAGTGGACCGTGTATGGCTGGTAACAGATGATCAGCTATATATGCCCCTTTTCTTGATCAGAGGGGTCCCAGTAGCCACGGAGGACCAACATCCCGAAGACACCACGGGGCCGCAGGATGCGTCCAAGGAGAAGAGTCCCTGCAGCCCTGGAGGCAACCTCTGTGAGTACTGCCATCTAGAGGAGGGTGGGTGCAGAAGCAGAGTTTAAAAGGGATCTCTCTTCTCCGTGTCCCCGGCTACAGGACTTCCCTTGTTGGGAGGGGCTGGGATGGTCCAGCTACCTGCCAGGAACTACCTTCTCTTCACCCTTGTACTCAGATAAATGCTTGGCCTGCCTGCTCAGGCCACACACACCGAAAAAGGCTCCCAATTCTACTGTAGACTTGCAGCTGAATCGCGCCTCAGTTTCCCTGTCAAGAAAGTGGTCACTGCTTGCCTGGCAGGGCTGTCACAAGAGTACCAGTAGAAGAAAGCCTAAAGCAAAAGGGCTGGGGATGGGGGGAAAGCATGGTTCAACTGGTAGAGCACCTTTCTATTTATCATGACGCCCCAAGTTCAAATTCCAGTATTCCCCCCAACACATACAAAGGCGGGTGGAACTTGATATTAACGAAAGTAGCTAGTTTATATGGTAGCAGCCCCTTCAACAAAGGGTTGTTTGCTGGATGTGTTCATTCTCATATTAGTGAGTTTAATAATGGACTCTATGTCATTGGAACTGTACCAAAGACCAAAGGGTACCAGAAATGCACTTACCTTGAACAAGTTATTGTGCATTGCAACACTTAGCACAGGGGACAGGAGAGTGTCTGAGAGGTTAGAATGGGTTGATAGGCTTGGGGTTTGTGTGTGATTTTTAGGAAGTCTTTAAAAAACCCTTTTGGCTCAGGATACCTCCCCTGCCTTGCAGTATGCAGGACTGGCTTCGTCTTATCTCAAAGGAGGGAAGAAACTGGCATGGTTCAAGCCTGTAATTGGTACAAAGCAGCGGTCACTTATCTTAGACATGTCCTTGGTTTTTGTTCTGACCTGATTGTGGTGTGATCTGGTCTGGATTCATCGAGTCATTCATCTTTTTTTTTTTTTTTGTCAGTCATGGGGCTTGAACTCTGGGCCTGGGCGCTGTCCCTCAGTTCTTCAGCTCAAGGCTAGTGCTCTACCACTTGAGCCACTGCACCACTTCCAGTTTTCTGAGTGATTTATTGAAGATAAGAGTCTTGAGGAGTTTCCTTCCCTGGCTGGCTTTGAACTACGATCCTTAGACAGGCGTGAGCCCCTGGCCCGGCAATTCATCTTCATTCATTCAATGGCTTTGTCTGCCTTGGATGTATTCTGTGAAATTGTTTGCATACATTGGAACGCCAAGGCCTAGCTGTGAGTAGCAGGTCAGCTACTAGACGTTTTGAGATATTTTTTCCTGTCTCAGTAGCATTAATTGCAAAGATTGAATAGCATTGTTTTGAGCACTGATATAAATTTTACACTCCTTTTAACACCCTGTAGAGTAGTTACTATGATTATCCCATTTTCCAGATGAAGAAATTGTTGTCCTTACTAGGAAAGTGGAGCTAGGGAATGCTATAATCACTGCATTTTTTGGTGGGCAGACTCTGGGTTCTAACTCCGGTTCTGCCTTTTCATTTCTGACTCTCCTGACTCAGTCTGCTCATCCATAAAGTGGGTCCACAAGCAGATATCCTGTACCACTGCCCAGCATTAGCCTAGAGCCGGGCCCAGAGAACATCAATGGTAACTTTTGGTGTGATTCTGGGGCTCAGGAGAGGCCCTGGAGGCTCCTGCTGGCCTCCCCCGACCTCTCCCCATCCCTCAGGCCGCCTAGGGGCCCCACAGTGCACCCACTGCCTCATCACCTTCGCCGATTCCAAGTTCCAGGAGCGTCACATGAAGCGGGAGCACCCGGCGGACTTCGTGGCCAAGAAGCTGCAGGGGGCCCTCTTCATCTGCTTCATCTGCGCCCGCTCCTTCCCCTCCTCCAAGGCCCTGATCGCCCACCAGCGTAGCCATGCTCCAGCTGCCAGGCCCTGCCTGCCCGGTGTGCCCACTGCTGCCCAGCCCACCTTCCCCTGTCCTGACTGTGGCAAGGTCTTTGGGCAGGCTGCTTCCCTGAGGCAACACCGCCAGGTACATGAGGCCCACACCCCTCCTGGTCCCTTTGCCTGTACTGAGTGCCGTCAAAACTTTGCCCAGGAAGCTGGGCTGCATGAACATTACATCCAGCATGCTCGGGGGGAGCTCTGAGTGCACCCCCAAGCCCTCTCCACACACACACACACACACACACACACACACACACACACACACACACACACACACACACACACACACACACACACACACACACACACACACACACACACACACACACACACACACACACACACACAGACAGAGACTTTCTGGGGGTCTGGGGAGGGATTCTTTCCATCCCCACGTTGGCAATGGCTCTTGACAAGGTTCTCATCCAGCACTTTGTTCTTTGGTGGATACAGGGCCGTTAGGGAAGCAAAGAAATCAGATCTTTTGAAGAAAATGAGAAGGAAAAATGACTTCTTTCTCCCTCATTTCCAGCTAAATAACTAGCTGCAGATTATATAATCACCTTTAATTTTTCCCAGATGGATGCCATTGACTGTAGGAGCAAATTGCCCTGGATCTGTGCCTGCGTGGGTAGGAGGAGTGGAGGCAGGGAGCTGAGGCCCTGTTGCTCTGTAGTGCCAAGCTCCATCTTAGACCTGGAGCAACTCCCAAGTTGTCGGGGATGGAGCATCAGGGACCTGAGCTGGACCCAGAGTCAGGAAGGAGTTTAGGTTCATCTCTCCTCTATTCCTGTTAGCATTCCCCCCTCCAAAAGAGGGACCAATGCCACTGGATAGCACTAGTCCCCCAGATAATTTATTTTCTATTTAAGCAATTCTGTGTAGCATTCTAGTTGTACTAGAATACGTCTTATATGCAAAGAAGAGGTGGCATGAATAAGCTAACAGTAGCTAAAAACAAAGCATCTCTATTAAAGTGTCTAAATTGGGAGCTCTGGCTTTTGAGTGGGAATTGCTAGAGCACATAAGGATGGAGGGGAGAGGGGGAGGCGCTCAGGCCACACTGGCCTAGTCCTTTAGGAAAACTAGTTTGGAATCAAACAGAAATACCTTCGGTTTCGTGATTTACTTGGCCAGCTCTGGGAGAATTCCCGTTGAGGCCCTATTTTAATTTTTCTTGCGTGGCCCAATGTGAGGGCTTTACATGGTCAGCAGGAGCAGGGCAGCAGCTACAAGCTGGAGCTGAGCAGTAGCAGCTGCCTTCAGACTGGAGATGAATCTCACCCAGGCCCATTTTGTTTTCTGATATTACCTATTCTGTCCTTGGAGACTATGACTAGAGCCTCACATACAGTCTTCAAGGACTCCGGATTGAGGGATTAAAGTCTGAAAGTGAGGTGTGTGGTAGAGACTGATAGCTGTCTCTGAAATTTTAGTTATGAAGACTACATGTCCCAGATTCCCTTGCAGTTAGGTATAGTCACATGATGGAAAATACCTGGGTAGAATGCTCAAGTATCCTGGGAAAGGGACAGGCCTTTTCCTCATCCTTCCTAACTGGAATGTGAACATGGTACCCACTCATCTTGCACCACAAGAACAAAAGCAACCTGAGGGATGGCAGAGCAAAAAGGTAGTGGGAGTCTGGGTCTCTGGCCTGCTTCACAGAGCACTTGGAAGCTACTATATGAGAGAGCAAACTGTCTCAAGCCACCATTATTTTGGGTCTATGTGACGTGCAGCAGAACTTGTAGCTTAAGGCAGGGGTCTATACTACAGCCAATCCTGCCGGCTGCTTAGTTTTGCAAATAAACTTTTATTGGAACACACTTAAGACTCATTATTTTATTGTTGATGTAGTTGTGTCTGAGACCCCTGTGGCCTACAGTAGCTCTTTACAATCAAAGTTTGTTAATCCCTCATAAACTAGGACAATTGCTGTCCTCACTGCCCCAGATGAGTCTAGAAGCAAGGATTCCCAACCTGCGGAATATCACCTTCAGCAGAGGGTGTGTGTGTGCAGGATCTGGGGTAAGTCTACATAGACCTTCAGCAGAGGTGTTGTGTGCAGGATCTGGGGTAAGGGTACACAGACCTTCAGCAGAGGGTGTGTGTGTGTGTGTGTGTGTGTGTGCAGGATCTGGGGTAAGGGTACACAGACCTTCAAGCAGAGGGTGTGTGTGTGCAGGATCTGGGGTAAGGGTACACAGACCTTCAAGCAGAGGGTGTGTGTGTGTGTGCAGGATCTGGGGTAAGGGTACACAGACCTTCAAGCAGAGGGTGTGTGTGTGTGTGCAGGATCTGGGGTAAGGGTACACAGACCTTCAGCAGAGGGTGTGTGTGAGTGCAGGATCTGGGGTAAGAGTACACAGACCTTCAGCAGAGGGTGTGTGTGAGTGCAGGATCTGGGGTAAGAGTACACAGACCTTCAGCAGAGGGTGTGTGTGTGCAGGATCTGGGGTAAGGGTACACAGACCCTACCATGCCTGTTCACCTAGTGTCTCAGCTGCAGCCTGCCACATGGCTGTCATGCTGGGGTTTTCTGCAAACATTTCCCAGACTCTCTTGAGCTGATGCCCTAAAGTTTCATACCTGAAGAATGTGGACAGAATGGAGAGAAGTCAGGCAAGGGACTTGCCCACTTGGGGTAGAGGGGAGGCAGGGCTGAGGAAATGGTGATTACAGTGGTTATGGAAGCTCTTCAGCAGTTCTTGGGGCTCCAGCTGGGTCCCCTAGATATTTAACCCCAGCCATGCAGCACCATGTGTCGATCCCTGCATCAGTCCCCTGTGATTTATTCTCCCAAGTTCCAACCACCCGGCAATTTCACTTCTCTTTCTGTACCTGACACTGATCCCTGAGTAGCCTCACTTCTTCAAGTTGGGGTTTCGGGCTCTCTGGCACCTCTGACTCTCACGTTCCTCTCCAGAATGCCCTGCTTGCTGCCCACAGACTACCCGTGCTCAACACGGTGGTATAAAACAGGGCCTTTGGGCAGTATGATGTTAATCTTGTCAGCTTGCAGGAACTGTAGGTATCTAGACTGGTACAGCACATCCTGCCCATCAGCACAGCCTCTGCTTCCTGGCTGCCTCAGGGCAGGCAGCTCCGCTCTCCACCACACCCTTCTGCCATCTTCTGCCTCACCATAGTCCAGAACAAAGGGAGTCTTTGACAGTTCTGAGGCTCTGGTGCTCAGGAGTATTGGTTATGGAGACCCCATTTCAAAGAGGATCATGTTCTATGGTGAGAGATGTGAGGGAGTTGAGGGTACACAGCATCTGGCTATATAGTTCATGATGGCCTGGAACTCATGGTCTTTTTGCCTTAGCCTTTAAGTGCTGGGATTACAAGTGTGTACTGCCACACCTGGTTGAGAAGTATGGCTTTTGAAAGACAGGAGTCCCAGTGCCAATGTCCCACAAACCATTTTCTGCTTCCTGGGGCTTGGTGGGTACTTCTTTCCAGGCTCCCTTTGAATGCTAGCTGTGGACAGGGAACTGAGCTCAGCAAAGGCAAAGCAACGGACACAGCAGGCTCCTCAGCCTGGCCCGAGGGAGGGACGTCCATCTTAAGAGGCACCTCGCCCCCCAGCCATGTACCCAGACCCATTACCTGAGTGAAAAGCACAGATTGCTGTGTCTGGAATCTGAGGATGTGAGTGGGCCTCACCTCCATGTTGGTGCCTGCAGGAGGACCCGGGACAGTGACCAGCAGGAGTGCCCTGCACCTACCTCCACACCACACACTGGACCCCTAACACAGAACTGGTTTTTATTTCGACCTTCATGGATCTACTGCTAAGACAATACAGATGGGGAGCCCAGCCCAGCGACCTGGGATCTCCTCCGCCCCTCCTCCCACCCGCCCCTTGGTGGAGCTCGGCCTACACCTCCCCGCGCGCATGCAGCATGAAGTGGCCGTGCAGCTCCCCCAGGTTGTCGAAGGAATCCTCACACTCGGTGCAGTGGTAGGTCCCCCCCTCCTCCTCGTCTTCGTCTTCCTCCCCCCGCCCCGTGGCTCGGCCCTCCCCTGCCCGAGACAGCTCCTCCTCTTCCTCGCCCAGGGCCTGGCCTTCAGGAGCTGGAGCTTCCTGGGGTGCTGTGGCCGGGCAGCAGAGCCGGCAAGGTGGGGTGCCTGGAGGGACCTCCCCAAGTGGTGAGCGGCCACACAGCTGGCAGGGCTGGGCTGGGGGGCCCGAGGGCTGGGCTGCCCGAGGGGCCCGGCGGGATGGGCCTCCCCTGCCCCCTCCAAGGCGCTGCTTCACCTTGTATCCAGGGTCATATTCAGGGTCATCAGTGGTCTCCTCTTCCTCCTCCTCCTCATCTTCCTCCTCTTCAGAGTCTGGCTCTGAGAGGGTGTATTCAGAGTCAGAGGAGTGCTCAGGGCCTGTGGGGACACATAGGACAGACAGGGGTCTCAGAGGACAGAAGGATAGACGGCCCTGCCAGCTGGCCCTCCCAGAGCCCTACTCAGGCTAGCCAGGGTGGAGGGCAGGCCTGGCCCTGGGCATGCACCCTGTATCTGTGCAGCAGCATGTGATAGCTTGCAAGGACTGCACCTATTACTGTAGCTCTGTCCACTACATTCATTCCCTCCCTCCCTCCATCCCTCCCTCCCTCCTTCTTCCTCTCTTACTTGACTCAAGATCTTGCTGCTTTCCCTAGGTTGACCCAGAACATAGGCTCCTTTCTGCCTGGGCCTCTCAAGTGCTGGGATTACAGATGTGTACCACCTCACCCAACCATCTATTGTTATATTAAAAGCTGCTTTAATTGGGTTTGGGAAGGTGGCTCCATGGTAGAGTGCTTGCCTTGCATGCATGAGGCCTTGGGTTTGATTTCTCAGTACCACATAAGCAGAAAAAGCCAGAAGTGGCAGTGTGGCTCAAGTGGTACAGTGCTAGCCTTCAGCTGAAGAGCTGAGGGACAGCACCCAGACCGAGTTCAGGCCCCGCGACAGACAAAAAAAAAAAACAAAAAAACCTCAAGCCCCAGTACCACACACACACAAACTAAAAACTAAAAAATAAATTCGATCTTGTGTATGAGGCCCTGGTGGTACTGGGTGGTACTGAGTGTCGGGTGGTGCTGAGGGCCTCACACTTGCCAGCCTGGAAGGATTCCGCTGAGGCAGCCTGGTTATTTTTAGGATGGGATCTGGCTTCCGCCCAAGCGCGTGCCTGAGCTGTGATGTCTCCTTTTAGGCTTCCATCTTCACTTCACTGGGAACCCCAGGTGCACGT